AACGCCATAAATATTAACTGTAAATGCTCGCGAATGTTTATCGGAAATCAATGTCAGAAAATTTAAGATATCAAGATGACATACGGTTTTGAATTGTTTTATTATTTTACGCGCGGTGATCATTAATGATTGCCGACTCGGTGATTTTCTCGGTTACGAAACTGCGTGGCCTTCTGCGCTGCTATTTCTATTACAAACATGTAATCCGGCCGGCTGCGCGTCGCGGCTAAACGCAGAACTCGCTAAATCACGGAACTGCGCGGCGATTCATCCGGCTTTGTTATGCCGTGAAGATACCAATAGCCAACGGGGTCGTTACGAGGAAGAAAGGCACGCGCGGCCAAGATCTTATCTTATTTCATATTCTGTTATCGCGAAAATAAAAACTGACATATTTTTACTGGAAGCTGCTCTTCGCTGAGTGGCTTGAAAACCGGTTTCTAAACGTATTCTTAATGTTAAAACACAGCTCGATTGCTTTAATCTTTATATTTTAAATTATTTAATCTTTATTTTTTAAATAATTTAGACTATTATGCAATTCGCGCCGCCGGTCTCCTCTCTATTACTCCGTCATTACTCAATTCTCCGTCTATATTTCGTCACGACGTCACACTCTAATCGCATTCGAACCACAGTCCGCAGAAAAAATCAACAACGTTAGACGCGTGGAGGTACCAGTCAGCGTCAAGGCCTAGTTCGTTAGTATTACAAGGCAAACGCGGAGTTACGAAAGAGCGCAACACTTCCATGATAGCGCCGCGGCGGCCCTTATCAGATTATTGGCTTAGCGAGCTTAGTGACTGTTAACCTTCGCGGAAGGGGACCAATGCGGGATGATGGGAGAGGGCGGCAACAGGGGTACGATACTTCGCGCGACCTCATCCGGACGGCTGCAATAAATGTGCGACTCAAGAATATGCATACGTGACGCGAACTGTGGGTAAAAAGCGGGAGCGCTGATAAACCCGTCCCCCCCCCCGGATCTCGAACTCGAAATCGTTCATTGAAAACGGGTCAATGACATCGAACAAATTACGCAATGCGCCGCATGCATTTACACGCTCCGGTGACGGGTGTGCGCGATGCGCAATCGAATACTCATGACCGTGAATTAGACGAACCGACCGGAATTAGGAGCTTTGTTATTTGGTGCTTGGTATTATTCGCACGTCCCCCGAGCTACGTCGCGCGCACACGTTTCTCGGAAAATATAATACTTTCGTAATACCAACGTAATCGGATCGGCGAATGTTTATCGGTAATTATATTTTGCATTTTCGAAAGGCGATTATTTTGGTAGATAATATCTTGATCGTACAAAAGAATATTTCATTAACATGTTTAAATGTTAATTGAAAGGAACGGTTTTATTCTCCGAATGAGTCGCTGATTGGCCGAATTAGAATACGTTCTCATTCTTTTTCCTTTCTCATAGATAACGATTCCCACGGAGATCAGAATCGCTGAGTGGAATTTTCGTAAAGCGAGAATTGCGCGTACGTCGGGGCGCAGCATCGGCAATCCAAATCTCCGAATCGCAAGAGAGGCTGAGAGAAGTCGCGCGCGATTAACATTCACGTGACAAAGAAGTGCGCATCTATTTTCCGCGTCCCAATACTCTTCCTACGTTCGGCGCGCGTGCGTGTCACATGGTATTGCACACAAGTGCACGCAGATACACACACACACACACACACACACACACACACACGCGCGCGCGCGCACGCGCGCGCGCGTATTCGCCCGTTTATCACAAGGGCAACCTCGAGATTCACAGTCATGAATCTCTCTACGTGTCGTTTCTTGCGCGTATCGCGATGCGTGTGTGGTTGCGCTCTTCCCTCCCCCCTCGCGGATCCCTCGACAGTCCACTATATCTTTTTTTTCTCTCTCGGCACCGCTTTTCGCCGTGGTGTGTAACGTCTTCTTCGCCGAACTTGGAGTTCGTGCGAAGAAGACGACCTTGGTCCCACGCGGCCATTAGCCGGGCCTAGAGGAAGCTCGAACTACGATTGGGCTGTCAACTTTTCATGCGGACGAAACTGTAAAACGAGCCGATATGGCAAACACACATTTGCTCTAGCACACTCTGCATCGTCGACCTTGACGGAGCATTGACGAGCCATTGTTTCCTTCCATTGGCCGCTTTCTATCGTATTAGAGTTTTGTCTCCGCTCTAATCAAATCAGCGACCATTCTTATCTATTCGCAAAACTTGGATATCGCGCACCACGTATCACCGCTCCGCGACGATCATAAGGATGGCTCCGGCTTTTGCCCCGTAATTTTCCGACCCAATCGTAGTTTCGATTACGCGCGCGTTAGTCTTGAATATTTTTGAATGACATAAAAAGTTGCACCCATTGATGCCGAGAGAGTTTCCAATTTTATTCATGCGACCAGATATCTTCCTCTTCACGATGTTATTATGTTCGTTGAGTTCAATTTGATCGGAGTTTGGACCCTTTGGAGAACATTAAACTCGCATTGTCTGAAGCCTTTGATAAAAACTGCAATATTGTTTACGACGTATCGGTCGCTGACATCGCCACGCAATTGACATTGAGTTGTTCCGTAATTCCCAGCTTCACTCACGGTGTGTATTACACACATCGACCGCGATACACGTACATACACGAAGCTCCGAATTATTATTGCGTAATAAGGGGAACGATGACCCTCGTCGTAAGAGGCTTCGTCGAAAACCCTAACTCCCAAAGACTACCGGCTGGCCTTGGAATATGAATAGATTGTCCGCGAAGAGTGCATTGCACTGTTGCGTAACTACACGCGAGTTTTATTTGCAAGTTTCGTCGTGACGGCAGTCACGCTGCTGACAATTTCGTTTCTCGTTATTAAATCTTCACATAATCCCGTCGAAATGACAATATTTGCAACGTATCTCTCAAATAATATATTTAGGCAATGTACAAATAATATGGTGACGTTAGAAAACATAGCGATAGTTTTAGATAACGCATAATCATGAGCGTATCCAAAGGGGGATTTGGGAGACTTTCACCTTCCTCGAAATTAAAAGAAAAAGTTAAAATTATGATTTGTGAAACCTAATATTTTTTTTATTCAAAATTAGGAAAATATATTCTAAAATATTCAGAAAAGAAAATAAAATAAAAAAAAACTTCCCCTATCCAAAAAATCTTGGATACGCCCATGCGCCTCAATCACCTAATAAAATGTAACGCACGTAATACGAATAAGCGTGACAATTACGCAGTTTTCTTATCACTTTTGCATAAACGCCCTATTGCACAAATGAGAAGACGGCGGTTTTTTTTTCTCATTGCGACGCCATCGAGTCGCTATCGCTTATCCGTAATCGACAATCTTCGCTAACGATGGCATCGCCCGCTCCCCAAATATAGTCCCTAACTATGAACAACATCTAAATAAGTACGCGCGATCGTGCCGAGAGTGTGTGCTCGTGCGTCATCTCTACTCGCTCATTCAGTAATAGCCGTACTCTCGCTTGCCCGGCGAGTCGATGACGGCGCTGCGGCGTGTCATAAACACGTCCTCGAGGCCTTTCCACGCGCGCGTGTTACGCAACGCCCCACCGAAATTCTTTGCAACGTATCGCGCATTATTACACAAGCTGCATGCGCCGCGATAACGGGAATAACAACGCATGTGTGCGCGTGAGAGGCATCTCTCGCGGGCCTGCTGCTGCGTGCGGCCCGCGCCGCATTACGAAAATTATTAATAGCCCCGGGAATTATATATAATACGCCGATGAACTCTGCACATCTCATTATTTCCACAAGTGTTATGCGCGGACGAACTGCCGTCCGGCTGCCGTTCTCCAAGTGTCTCCAAGCGCAGTTCACGGACGTACAGAGAAGGGTCGGCCGCCCTTGCGTCACGAGCGAGGGTTTATTATAAAATTTAAAAAATTCGTTATTCTTCTGAGAAGTTTATTATGAAATTAAAAAAATTCGTTATTCTTAATCTAAATGGAAAATCTTCTTCGCGCTAATTCTCACACGTTTGTTGCGCGGATTCCACTTACTGGCGTTGACAAACAACGAAACAAGGTTGCGATCGTGCTTGCGAAACGTCTATACACTCTATACACTCGTATACGCGATTCGACTATTAACCTTTGCATAATACGTAATGAGCTGAGCGTTCGTTTGGTCCGAACACCTGTAATACGATATGCACGATCTCATATTGACCAAGTTGTAAGGAGCGGGATTAATACAACAGCGATTAGAATGCAAAAAAGTATTCGAAATTTGATTCCGAAGTACGATATTCGGTAGAGACACTGTCATTATCTTATACGTGAAACAAAGTTCACGATACATATATATATTTGACTATATACCATATATATATTCAACGACTATCTGTGATGTATCGCGGTTGCCCGTCGAAATATATATATATATATATATATTTCGACGGGCAACCGCGGTACATCACAGATAGTCGTTGAATCGTCTCTTTTCCGGATACAGCAAATCCAATATTCGTCAAATAAGAGGCTTGAAATTGGGCGCAACGGGAAGTATACGGAAGTATGATCCCGCGCCGAGAGGAAGCTCAAAGAGTTGGACACACTTTGTGTACCGGGAGCCACTCGGCAAGACAGGTGCTTTGAACTACCTGGTCGTGCCCTCGTCACTTTTCTCCTTTCTCTTCTCGCACTTGATTTCCTTATTCGGCGGGCACTGCCAATGAGGCTTCTTCCCACATTGGTCTAAACGCATAAAGCGCTTTCATGAATTGTCTCGTTCGCCCGATTCGCATGGAACTATCATGAAATAAGATACGAGAAGAAGTAGCGCGATTCGAATAACTCTAGATAACGAAAATATAACGTAGTTTATGCAGGCAAATAGCAAAGTGCAATTGTCTTCGAATTTAAGATCTATAAACGAAATAAAAAATTCAACGATTTCTTTTTTAAAGAAATTTTGTTCGGAATGATTTGATTTAAATTTTAACTACAACGCAAAGGCTTAGATGATCGAATATGGTTTTTTTTCTTTTTTATGCTAGTCATTTCTGAATACGCTTCAAGCGCTTTACGTGCAGCGACCGCCCGTGTGTGTTACACGCCCGCGCGCCAGCGAGCGCGCATTATGTTCGCGCGCATGAATTACGAATTACGGAAGATCGTGTTCGAAGATGACCTACATACGCAACGAGCTACGACGTCAGGCGATAGCTAGCCTCGATCCCTTTATGTCGCGTCGCGGAGAGGAAAGTGGTGGGCTTGGAAAAAAAAGGGTTCGTCGGTCACCGGCTTCCTTTGCACGCTGAAATTCCCGCGCTCGCCCGCCGCGCGCGGATGGCTCGCTTACATTGTAAGCCGTGAGAAAGAAAAGGCTCCCGAGCGTCTTGCACGTGCACCAAACATTTCTCGGCGTGCCAATTTCACCGATCGACTTTGTTACACGGTGATTCTCGCGATAACGTTCTAGTGAATCTCTTTTCGACGATATACTTTTGATTTACGTTAGAAATGATCGTACGTTAGAAATCGTTACGACTCGTCGAGTATTTCTTTTCGGCGTACCTTCTTATACCGCTTACATTTTAAAAAGATCCCATCCTATTTATGTTTCAGGAGTTACATTCAAAGCGCACAGGTTAATTCTCGCAGCATGCAGCAAGCACTTTCAGGAGCTCTTCTTGGCGGAAGGAATCTCCCGTCATCTCCCGCGGGACTGATCGTTATTCTCGATGGTCCACAATATGGTGTCCCTCCTCGAATTCATGTACCGTGGAGAGGTACATGTGTTCCAGGAATCCCTCAGCCCCTCCCTCCTTCCTCAAGGCAGCTGAATGCCTTCAAGTATGTGCCTGTCTCTTTTTCTGTAAATAATGACCTTAAATAATGTTTCCCGAATTGTACACGTGGCGCATGAAGCGACCTCCCAAACTCGCGCTCGCCTGAAGTTTCTACATGTCACTTGTGTCGTGGAAGCTCGAGAGAATTAAATCATTTGTCAAGCTCTCCTCGAAAACACGTTGTCGCCTCTGTAAATTATTCCGTGCTTTAATCCAGTATATTCGAGCATTTATTGTAAAATGGCACGGTTTTACATATTTAATTGAAATGTACATAGCGGCAGGTGCTGCTTATATCAACTGCACAAAATTCATTAACATAATCCACACGTTGACATTCACGTGAATTCAAATGCGATAAATATTTTCTTAATCCCCTTTTACTTTAGTACATATAATATTTTTATACCATTTCTCAGTACATGTTTCTAAAATATGATGGTCTTAAATCCAGGTTAAGGGTCTGTCGATCATCGAGCATGAGAAGCTGGCGTCATCGCCAGCCATGGCGCAGAGGCACGCCACGGAGGACAGCAACACTTTCGCGGATATAGAGAGTAACGGAGGCGGAGGCGATGGTGGCAGCGTCGAGGATAGCGTTGGCAGCGGTAGCATCAGTGGTATCATCGGCAACGGGGGCGGCGGCGATATGAGCAACATGAACGAGGCAAGCGAAGCCACCATGGTCGGAAACATCATGAGGAGGACCCCCCACACCGCCATCGCCCCCGCCCCGGCGTACACCGTCCCCAGCGTGTACTCCATTTCTCATTATTACGAGAGCCCACCGAAGAGGCTGATGAGGTAAGAGTCTGTCGCCGAGGCACGTAAGATTTTTACGGGAAACGCGACGGCCTTCTTACATTCTAACGTATGGCGATGACGTATGTGACAAAGCGGAGCGATAAATTAATTGCGATGAAGAAATGCTTGTTTTGCCGAGGCGACTTTTTTACGATTTCGGACTTCGATCTCGGCTTGTCGGAGTATTTCAGTTTCGATCGAAATTAGTTTCTCGTCAAGTAAGCAATTATTCGATGTTACGCAAATCAAAAACATAATTATCTTTATACGTTTTATACGTTCTTTCGTTCGCCTCGCATCGACGCCGCGTCGATTTCCGGATTGATTTGATTTTCTCCATGCTTCCTCCTTATCGTATTACGTCTGTTTACCAAATATTCGCGCCGCGTTACGTGTTCCTCGCCGATTCACTCGCGTGAAGATTTCGTGAGTTGCGTATTTTTAGATCGCCGAGCGATGTCGATTCGCTGGGAAGAGCGAGCGTGTTGCGCGACGGCACTGCCTTTCGCCCGCCGTCCGTCCCGCATCCGCTTCTGCTGAAGAACCACTTCTACCAACCGTTCATCCATCCCTCCAAAACTTCTTTGCATTCCCACACTGCGCCGCACACACCCACGAAACTGGAACAGCAGCTAGAATGAGCGCGGTCCGAGGAGCGCCGCAACTGTGATCTCAAGGAAAACGTTGCCGAAGGTAAGAGAAGTCTACTTTCGATAAAACTGATCGTAAAATTGATCGAAAAATCCTACCGATTGGTCCTTCATAGATCTCTCTCACATGTTCGCAGATCTTTGAATAAAGCAGAAGTCAGTGGCGTTGATCGATCGGGAGATGGCGGAAAAGTTGGCGGAGAAATTGTCAAACCGGGAAGACGAGGTTTATCCCGGACGGGGAGGATTTGACGCGGACTCGTACGGACCGAACTCGGATCGTCTGCCACACGGTGCACAGCTGGGTTCGTCGATGGTGCCGATACCGCCGATTCCCGATCCCGTCGCACTCGTTATGTGGAACGCGAAGATCAACAAGGCCAGCACTGTCTCTACCATCGACGGCGGTGAGTGCAATACATTATTTTTATATCAAAATGTCGCCGCCATTTACCGCGGACAGTTGTGATTTAAATTCGGTAGAGATCAAAATGACAGCTGCTCTCTCTCTCT